AAAAAAAAAATGTATAAAAAATTAGATAGGTACAGTTTATTTGGGTTTTTAACAACTTTTTTATTTTTATTTTTTCGGTTATACACAGTCACTCGCGCGTCCGACGACGTGCCGACCAACAATTACGATCGCCGGGCGAGTCGTTACTCGCGGTGTGGTCGTCCGCAAACGAACGCTATGTCGTCTTTGTAGGGTTATTATAACAAAAAAAAATAAAAAAAAAAAAAAAATACTAAATATATACACTATACAGTAAGTTGGTAACTATTTTGGAGATGCAGGAAAAAAAAGTTAGATCATTTTGATTTAAATTCGAAAGCGGTCAAACTATAGTTTAGACTTTTAGAGTCTAGAGTCTAGAGAGTTAGATATTGTTATATAGCTCTCAGCGCAAAATTTCTCCAGATTACTCTCTTGTATTGAACAAAATTAGGAGACAGGGAGGGAATGGTGGTGGTGGTGGTGGTGGTGGTGCCCGACCAATCAATGTATTTTTCCTTTGTCCATAAAATGATGACCACCCTACGGGTGAAGTTAGGTTCTATGTATCGGAAATTTTCAAATTCTGCAGATGCACACCCTGTGTACGAAATAGGCGAGAGGTGGTGCAGAATATTATAATAATATTTTGCCCGAGTCTACAGAGCTACAGAGCTGCTGTACAATCTGATCGTAAAATCGCACGTATAATACGTTTAGCTGCCGAGGCGGACAATTTGTTTCGTTTTTTTTTTCCAAACACATGTTGCATATTTATTTTATTAAAAAAAAACGCGTAGGCGAACAAATTACAAAAAATATTATTACGATAACAGTATAATGTACGTACGATATACCTATAGATAGAGATGTAGAACTAGATGTGCGATATTATATATTATAATATTATGACGCGATGTGCAGCGGTGTTAACGTATCGGATTACGAGGATATAGAATAATATTATACCGTGCAGCCTACGCGTCAAAAGTTTAAAACGTGACGAAAAATATGAAAAGAAAGAAAGAAAAACGTGTTTCAAAACGGTTTTATTCCAGACATTTTGGGCGCTGCGCTCCGTACGGTCGATTTGTGTATAAAGTACTGATGTATTTTAACGATGGCGACTAGAGTAAAACAAAAAAAACCGTCACTAACTACGCGTTTCTCGACATACGTCACAGCGTCCGGGGTGATAATCATTGTCCGGTGAGAAAAAAAAAATGTAAATAGAACGATGGCCGTACGGAGTATTCTTACGTGCTATTATACGTAACTCAATACAAGACGCTGTAGATATTATGCCACGGCCCGAGTACATCGTTAACGGCGCAATAAAAGGCCGGGTAAGTACATATGTACCGCCTATAATAGAACGGTAACATTTCATGGTAAAAAACCGACGAAAAAGTGGCTGTTACTGCTGACGGGCGTACAACTGTTTTAAGAGGGAAAATACGAATAATTTTGATATTTTTATACACAACTACAAACAAATGCAAACGATTCTGAGCAGAGTATAATATTATTGTTTTCTTTTGTTGTCGAGGTTACCCGGAAACGAACAAAAACTATACGAAAAATTGCTCAAGAAAAAACAATCTTAAATTCAGATTTAATAATTTTTTATATGGAATACACCTACTATAATTGTTCAGTATAATAACGGCAATCGTCATATTATTATATGTGTATCAATACTACGTGATATTGTATTTTGTTCGAAAAACGAAAAATGGACCTAAGGGTGAAATTCCGTAAACGTTGGTAAATGTTTTGAATCGAATGCCATTTGCAGCGGGTCAAAATGCCACGTTTTTTTAAATTTTTTTTTATGGTATCTATATATATTTTGCGCAAACGATGATTCGGAGCGTATTTACAAAACGAAAAAGCGTTTTCCGAGGAAACCCCCCCCCTCACCCTTCCACACAATAAAAAAATAATCTAGAAAGGCGAACCGTCAACGAAAAAAAAAATAAAATTATTCGCATAAAATACCGGCCGGTCGGGAATCCCACGTCATTTTGAAGACGGTTAGGTTAGCGGAGAAAAAAACAATCGAAAAACAAATAGTTTCTCGTCGTTTTCCTGTCGTTATACATCCGGAGGAATTTCATAAAATAATCCGGTCAACGATGCGTCCAGACGAGAATAATAATGACAAATAATTGTACACACGCGAACCGATTACGATAACGGCACACGCAGCAATCGGACGAACAAAATCTAAACAATACGCACCCGGTATAACATTGCGTACATTAACGATCGTTGTCAATTTATAGCGTCACCGGACCGTCATATTTCACGGGACGTATGTTATAATTTAATTTCACGTGGAATAAGAGGAAGGAGGAGACCGCACGGTTTGTAATTTAATTTAATAATTACACGGACGTATATATTATATGTATTATGTCGCGACACGGAGGAGTTTTTACTTGTAATAAAACGCGTGTCATCATATATACTCGATACACTCGATATATACAGGGCGATACAGGGCGCGACGTGAAAACCGAATACGTTTTGGAAAAATGTAAATTCCGTTTACGGTTTTTATCGCGGTATAAAACGAATCTGTATAGATCGGAGGGGGCGATTATTATTATACCCCCCTCCCCCTTCTCTCTTTCGCTCGTAACCAATTGTCACGCATAGGTTCGCCCCTTCACGCCGCCGTCCGTTTGCTGTATAGTGAATGCGCGAATCGCGTCTTTGATCGTTCGCGATCCCGCGTTCCTATACGCGCGGCGTTTCTCCCCTTCAACACTATCATCCATTATTATCAATTTCGACAGACCTTTATCGCGTCTGAACAATACGGCCGGACCACTCGTCGCTTTGTCTTCTTGTCAAACGTGTCCGCATATAATAATATAAACATATAGTAGTGTTATTTCTTTCCGACACTCCATTTACATTTAACGCTTCTTCGTATTTTGTTACCCGGCATTCGGCCCTTTCTTCTAGAGCGTCCCGAGCACATTTCAAACGCCCGTTCCGAACTGATCCTTTTTATTCGTCGGTATCGATAACGACCGGGGAGAATTCATTCTTCCGTAAAGCATTCCAAACATGAATTTTTCATCGTTAGAAAGCCCGGTCTTTTAAATTTTCTCCAATTTCGACAAATTTAAAATCGGTTTTATGACATTTCAATTGCCATCTTAAAGATAAAATGTGTCTACGGGTCTACTATCTGATACCTGTTTGCCTCGTTTTGGGGGAAATGGGATCCGGTCGTTTTCACTGACGAAATTAACTGAGCGGAAATAGGGACGACTTTCGCATAATAATCTACCATTTTATTTTTAATCGATAGACATCATTCTACAGCTCGCGTTGGACTATTCGAGTTTTCGTTTGATTCTAAAAATAGAGTTTATGACTACAAAAAAAAACGTTTAAAAACGGAATTCAAAGTGACCTGAAGGACATCTTCGTCTTTTCGACAGATAATAATACTCATCGAAATCGGACAATTTTCGTTCGGACCGGGCTCCTTCAACGGTGATTTTATAATACGCGATATCCTCGGTGAACCGAAATCCGCGTGTACCGCGATACGCGTGTATAGTAAATCACTGTGGCAGTAGGTTCGCGATAAAAAAAAAAAACAAATCGAATCGCCCTGTATAATTTCACGTACATACTCGCGCGTTCCGGTCTCCGGCGTTTCGCGTCCGTCGTTTGTGACATCGCGTGCCGGCAGAAATAAGACTTCATTACGTACATGTTATTGGAATATTTTACGATATTATACCGCGGTCGTATATGTATATACAGGTGCATAATGTGTGTAAGTGTACGGCGGCGATAGAGAGGCGGGCGAGTATAATAATAATATACGTACGCATACATAACGTCCGAAGTCTTTGGGAAAAAATACGAAGGCGAAATGATAAAAAAAAAAAAAAAGGAGGAAGAAACTTAAAGGAAAAAAAAAACGACAAAATATAACGCGGGCACGGGAGGACGTGATGTCGGCCCGGGGGACCGCATGCTGTCCCGGACATAAATAACACCTATACGCCTTTTTTTTTTTACGCGGCGGCAAAATAATATAAGCGACACGCCGAAGACTGCGGCAACAGCAGCAGCAGCTACTACTATACAGCGTCTCGGGTAAAGACGTTCACTCCGAGTTATAATAATATTATCATTACACATATATTATATTATATACGTTTTCGGAATAGCGCGACGCGCGCCCGTCCATATAATATTGTTATTATACCTACACTTGTTGTTTTTTCTATAATTTTTCTCTCCGCGTAAGTAAATATCACACGAATAATATTCAAACGATCGTCTCCCGGGAGTTATTATCATATAATATTGTTATTTATATGCGCGCGTACACGGTCGCGGGGCCCGTTGTTTTACAATATTTTTATTCGGTTTTTTTTTTTTTTTTTTTTTTTTAATACGCGTCCCGTAATTTATAATAATTTTGTGCCGTCGCGTCGGAGGAAGCGGTCGCGTCGCGCGCGCGACACGAAATTTCCTACGCCGGCACGCCGCCCGCTGAGCGCCAAATCCACCGGCGGCTTCCGCGCGCGCGGCACACGTCGTCGTCACGCGCGTATCTTCTTCTCCTTCGCGTGGTTCGGCTCTCCCCGGCGCGTCTCGTGTTGTTATTATTATTATTACAATATTATAATAATAATGATAATGATAATAATCTGGTCGTTGTTAGCGTTATTATATTGTTGTCCGAATGTATAGCGGCGGGTTCCACGCCCGTTATGCATCGCATTATTATCATAATTTAATGCGATGTGTATATACTGTACGTACACAGTGTGTGTGTGTGTGCGCGCGCGCGCGTATATGTGTGTGAATGCGTGTCGTCGTGGGAGGCGTAAAAACCGAACAGAAAGTCGCATTCCCGTGCGGGTCGTAACTCGCCGAGTTTCAGCGATATCGGTTCGCGTGGCCACAGAAAAGTCTTGCCCACCCCATCCCCGTTCCAGGAGAAGATTTTACGAGTCCGATATATTATTATCTATTGTCTTTGATTGATATACCGGAAACGTTGACGATTCCTATAGGGAAATGATATTAATAATACCGTCGTCTACAGTACTTGTAAATCATTTCCGTATGGTTTATTTGACGATACATTGTCGAAACCCTCGTACTTGCAGCAGTGCTCGTCCCCTGCAACCGCACAAGACTGAAAATGAGACGCAAATGTGACGCCAGAAAATTACTCGACCTGGCTTCCGTTTTATAGGACCGGCAAGTCAGTCTGCGACCGACCGATTAAAATACGCAAACGCGTAATAGGTATCATCTATCCGATATCTGTATTTGTATCGTCAACTATTTCGTGCTCCTATTTCGACACTTAACGATTATAACGATCCTTAGATTATAACTTCAGCAACGGCCGATCGAACAATGTTCAGTATTATAACGTATAAGTACGAGTATATCTTTGGTCTAAATTAGTCCCTTCAGGAGGCTTTTTTTTTTTAAGTTTATCTTTTATAATTTTTCAGTTTAAATTGAACATATATAAACATATTCTGATACATGTATTATACTGCGAATTACAAATATTAAAAATATCTTTTATCCAACACGGCCCATGTGGTAGTTTTTATTTGGCGAAAAAGGCGAAAGTCTTCTATAGAAATGTACCTATTTAGCAACTATGCCATTTTACCATTTAGCGATTCTCGACATTTACTTTGCTCGTATCAAAATACGATTTGAACCCTTCTTCCCCAAAAGCAAAAACATATAGTATAGTATTTCTTTAACAATATATAATTATGCGGAAACTTAGCAATATAAAATACCAATTTCTGAACGGACATATTTTATTTTATATTAATATTTTCACTTTGAAACACTATTCAATGTTCGTGTTGATCTATCTATGAACATTATACGAACGTATAACATTATGTAGTTGCATTTATTATAACTGCAGACGGGTATCGGACGCATCGGAGTGTAACTTTCCGCCTCGGAAATGGCCAACAACAGGAGGCGGATCCCCTTCACGACGACTATAGCTAGTGGACATGATGATAATTTTCCCCCGTTATTTTTTCCTCTGGTTTATTATTATTATTATTATTATTATTTTTTTTTTTTTTTTGTAGGTATAAATAAAAAATTGTATTTTTCGTACTCGTAAATTTCAAAGTTATTTATTATTTTTGCTGTTAAAAAAAAAACTAAAATTAAAGACAATAANGGAGGCGGATCCCCTTCACGACGACTATAGCTAGTGGACATGATGATAATTTTCCCCCGTTATTTTTTCCTCTGGTTTATTATTATTATTATTTTTTTTTTTTTTTTTTTTTTTTTTTTTTTATTAAAATATATCATATACATCGATTGCTACCGAAATGAACGCTAAAATAAACAATAATCTTTATTTTAAACTTTTTAAATTATAGATAAAGAAACAAAAAGTCGCACAACGACCCGGAAACAACATCGCCATTGGGAGAATAACTAAAGAGGGAAGAAGGTTTTTTTATTGTGTAACCGTTTTAAGATCAAATGTTGAAAATAATCGTAAAAAACAGCATCTCGGAAAATGTGCAATCGAACTTCGCTCAGAATCGCATTTCGTTAGCAAAGATTTATTGTTGTGTATCTATTAGCAGTATCAACTCATTTTTTTTTTTTTTTTATTGTAGGTATAAATAAAAAAATTTATTTTTCGTACTCGTAAATTTCAAAGTTATTTATTATTTTTGCTGTTAAAAAAAAAAACTAAAATTAAAGACAATAATAATAATAAAAAAAAAAAATACACCAATACACAGAAATTATTTCGATTGTTCAATTGTCAATGAAGAAAAAAAAAACCCCGTAAAGCTTTTGCGGTGGTGGAACAATACGATTTTATTGAAAAGGTATCGATTTTTTAAAACACGCGATTTGTTTATAGCTGCGGGCAAACTGCAGATTTAGTTTATACAAAAATTCGGGATCTTTGATCTTTATACACACTCGTAAATACATACAGTAGACCGCGCACTTGTTTTACAAAATAAGACACAGTTTTTCTTTTGGGGTAAAGGTGTGGATGGAGCGGGGAGGAGGAGTAGGAGGAAAGGCGAAAAGAATCTCGCGAATTCGAGTGTGTCGGCGAGTGCTGCAGGATTTTACGCCGTACATGTCAAACGGGAGACAATCGCTGCAGTAGCGTTTTTATATATAGGTACCTGCCCGTCTGCCTACCTATATAATATAATACCATTGAACCGTCCTCCTTAACACATGTTCGCCGGTGTAATATTATGCGTACGAGCGAGGAGCTGCAGAAGAAGAAGAAAACAAGCGGGGAAATAATAAAAAAAAAAAGTCGTTCGTGATTTCAGAGCACACATCGCCCGTCGGAGTTTGCAGAAAAGCGAACCGAGTCGTGTCGAAACGCACACTATATAATATTATAATGTATAGGCACTATAGTATACCGTGTACTACTCTACACCATACATTGAATGTAAATTTTGTTCGGTCCGTTCCGAGAGCCGCGGTGCGGCAGAGCGCCGGGGAAAAGGCGCTCTGAAAAATAAAACAATCGAAAACCGATCGCGTTTTTATACGTGCCTAACTGCGCGGGTATAAAGTCAAAAAAAAAAAAACACCGGTGCCTACGACGACGACACGTTCGACGTCAGTCGAGGTCAACACGTATGAAAAACAAAAAATTTAATAAAACAACGCTTCCCGAACTATATAGCTATAATGTATTATTATGTACACGTAAAATATATTATAGCGTGATAGATATCAAAATAACAAACACGTATAGAGCCGAACGCTGCATTTTTCCGTACGGAAAATACACGCACGGGTACACGCGGTGTGATAACAACAATATTATACGCGCGTAGAAAAACGGAAAAAAAAAAAAAAATTATAACTACATTTTTAGAATATTCCAAAGAGATTAACGGCGGCGGCGGCGGCGACGACGGCGACGGTGAAACTTGTATGTACAATACGCGGGTATTATAGCTGCAGCTGATAACGAGATAAACCGATAGCAACACGCATGTGTACTATAGAAAGGTGACATTAGATGTCATGTAGGCTTTATTATTTATTTTTGTTGTTTTTTTTTTTTTCTACAAGAAACCTAGACATTACGTTTATTTTTTTCTCATGTTCCGAGGGGGGGAAATATAATAAAACTTAAATGTGTACCTTTATAGTGACCGCGAATAATAACTTTTACACAACGGTCACCTAAGAACTAACGCGGCAGATTGCAGTAATATGAAGTTCACCGACGTTCGAATGTATAGGAGCGTAGGAAAAAAACAAGTACACTATAAAGTAATATAACATATGATTTTTCCCGTCAAGTTAAAGAAGCATTTGAATGAAAAGTAGAGAACGGACGAGAAAGATCTATATAGGAAGATACGGTGGAAGAAGAATTGAGAAGCCTGGGAGTTGAAACCTGGACAGAGGTGTTTGAAGACAGAGACAGGTGGCCAAATGATAGTCATGATAGCGGTCAAAACTCTTAGAAATTAAAGCCAGTAAAGTAATGAAAAGAAGAGTAGATAATAAGAAGTAGTTTATACTTAAATTGTCGTAGAATAATATGAAAATGATATTTTATTAATAATTGTGTTATATTAAGAGGACGGGACGCCGAATTTATTGTCTCGATCTAACACTAACGGGCGACAAAGGAAAATTACGTTTTATGTACGTAGAAAATAAATTGTGGTGTTATTGGGTTAAAATTAAAGTATTTCAACATTTTAAACAAAACTTTAAAAAGGAGAATATTTTCGAAGGTAGTATGACGGTTGTTGCTTTTGAAGCCGTAACTCTTTAGTATTTTTAAAAAATTAAAATATTTTCTTGTTTAAATGTATTTATCATTGTTGAAATACTTTGATTTCAACTTGATAACAACTTATATATTCATTGTCATATGATTTTGCTTTGATGCTCGTTATTTATATTGAGACAGCAGACACAAAATTTATTTATACAGAATAAAATGACGCAGCGTTCGAAAAATGTTTTGGAAAAACATGAAGTGTACCTAATATAGTTAATTTTTTAAATTTTAAGACAGTGGTGCTTTAATAGTTTTAATAAAAACACGTTGGATAATATTCAAGAAAACATTTTGGATTTACTAGCCGAAAAATAATATACTCTGTGCGGCCGTAGAGAAGTTTTGCTTCTCTGCTAATTAATTTTCAAAGATGAAGTTACTATATACCATTCTGTCCGTAATGCTTCACATTATATAATATTAAAATTTTTGTTTTTTCCTCGTCCCGTTCATTTTACGATTTCACCGAGTTAATTTATCTATACAGGGTGATCACACCTAATGAATCACCTTGTATACATAAGGAATAATGCATATATATACAATGTATATTAAAGGAGATATTGTTATAACGAAGATTACAGAATCCCGTAAAGTTGTAAATGAAAAAAAAAAATAAAAACAATGTACGCGTTTTAGTAGGTCAAATATAATATTATTATAAGCTAGTCATAAAAACGTGTGTATGTGTGTGTGTGTATGTGTGTGCGTGTGTGTGTGTGCGCGCGCGCGCTTTTTAAAGAGTAGGTATATGTGTTTTCGTTTATAGATGCCCGGATTTTAATCGTCCCGCGTCAGGACACTAAATCGTAGCGTCTCCCTACGGACGCGAGCATTAAAAAACATTGTTAAATAAACCTATAAAAAAAAAAAAAAAAAAAAAAAAAAAACGAAACGAAACGTCTTGAAAAACGACGAGCAAGAAAAATCGACGCGACGTGTTTAGACACAGTGTCAGTCACAAAAAAACAAAAAAGCCACTATACAGGCATATAATTGTTTTCGAAACGACGGCGGGTTGCGATGGACAACAATATAATAATTATTATTATTATTATTATTATTTATATCGTTTCGCCTCTCAAAAACACAGAATCAACGGTCGAGAGAATCTTTATGAAAAACGATACGGCAAAAATAATATACCGAGTTTTGCCCACGCCTACAACTCACACCGTTGGAGTTTCAATATTATTATTATTTTCTCTTCTCGGCGCGAAACTGGCGGCTTTTGATTATTTTCGCCCGAACCGTACCGTCGATTTCTCTTTTCACCGGATGGCTGCAGTTTTCCGCGGGGCTCTCGTCACGTTATCTTTAGACATGACTTTAACTCAACTTTTTTTTTTTTTTTTGGGGGGGGGGATGGAAGAACACGTCAAGGATGTCGTGACTATGGATATTATTCGCCGAATAATATTTGGTATACCAAGATGGTGAAGCGTTTTTCCGAAACATAAGTGGCGAATGTCTACGGTATCCGCGGAGTCCGTATAAGCACCAAATTTTGTACACGTTTCATTGTCGCAATATAAAATAATTTGCCCGTTTTCGGTTATAGGGAACCAAGGTGAAATACGGCACTATAGAATCTAACTGAATCCAGACACTTGTGTTCCGATTCTGCAGTTGGCGTTCGGAAATACGGCGCGGAAGAGAAGAAGTTTATGAACGAAAATCAAGAAAAACCAACGCTAATATTATTTGCCAAAGAACAAAATCTCCCGGTCGTGTCAGCAGAATTCTTACGGATAACTTTAAAAATGGCGATGTCGTGTCACACTGCGAGCCGTCAGACACGTATATACAAGAAGCGTTTGTGTATCCATACAGAACAGTGACGTTATTTAGGGGAAGGGAAGTCTATTTGGAAATTTGTCTCGTCCGAGTTTTATAGCCTTATTTTCTTTAGTTGAAATTTTAGTTGATCACTGCAGGCTTTTGAGGATACGAAAAAGAAATTTAAAAAAAATCGTTTAACGTTTTATACGAGTACAGAGCAAACTTGTGTATATATATTGCGCGTTGAAGTATATGACAATTCGAAAAACTAATTGACTGACGGTCAATATTCGAACGTATATAGGGAAAATGATAGTTTTTTTTTTTTTTTTTTAGTATTTAACTCCTTTTTTTGTCGGTCGGCAAATTTGGTAAGTTTGTTCCGAATATTAAAATATTACGCTACTCGGGCAGACGTCGTCGTCGTATTAACTATAATAATATGTATATTGTATATGATATACATAGGGTGTTTGTACGCGCACTGTATATTTTATAATATATGGTTAAACAGGCGTCGAAAATTACCGACGATAAGCATTATTCGGCCTGGGGCACGCCCTGTTTTACATTTTTTTTTTTTTTTTTTGACAAAAGGAAACACGGACTTCACAGCATGCGCATGATAATACTGTAATATAGAACACATAGAGCTGCACAATAATTTCCCATCGCAGTACTCGCACGCGCGTCTAATCCCGTCTTCCGATTTACGGTATACACACGGACAATAGCTGAAATTACAATAATACGCATAGGAACCCGACAATATTGTACGTCATACGTTCACGTATAACAGCACACGGAAAATGAATAGACTTTTTTTCGATTTTTTTTATTTTTTGTTTTTATCGTCCACAAATTTAAAACCGATGGCGATAAAACGCCAAGGGGCAAATACAACAATTTATAGAGCCCGCAATCGTACGCGCTGAAACCGTATGAAATGAGCATGTGTTTATGCACTTATTATCATCATTGAAGTATGCATATATTGTAAACAAATCATATTTATACTAATTACGTTTTGTATCTGTAGTTTTCCGCGTTATCAACGGTTTCGTTGTGATAAACCGTATAACCAAAATTATCTTGTTATAGCGAGCAATGGCAACAATAAAAACTAATTTATACCTGTTATCAACCGAGTGTCGGTCAATACGCCGAGAGGTCAACTCGAGTTGATATAATATGGGAAAAAAATAGATTTTAATTAAAACTATTTTTTTTTTTTTTTTTTGAAAATCTCCCCTCCCCCGTTTAGATAATAATAAAAAAAAAAACTAAATGCTGACAGTATTCGTGCGATTATAATACACCCATATCGAATAACGGTAAACATTGACCGGCTCACGGTTCCATCTGCAAATATTACAGTGGACACGTTATTTATGTCCTCCCCCCTCCCCCCCGCGGAGTTATTTGATATATTTGATATATTTGGTATATTTTTCACGACGACAATAATCGTATTTTCTTAAGTCGACCATTATATACCAATATTGCTGCAACAGTCCCCCTATATATTGGCATTTTCGCGGTTCTGGTCTCCGAACGCGTTTGTCGCTTGTTAACAATACAACGGTATCGTATACCCGGACAATTTATTATATTCTCGGTAATCGAACAAACCTTTACGTATACACAGAGGCGTTTTTGCGATACGTATAATAGTCTTTTATCATATTGTATAATATATTGTAATATAGCGGTCTCTGCTCTCCCGTCTCGACTATTCTTCAAAGGACAACAAAATATATCGAATCGAATACGATATTCGGTTCTACGCCTGTAATAACTACAAAATAATATGTAGATTTATTACCGGATGACTAACGATTTTGGTAATTGTGATGATGACATAGTTTAATTTCGCGACCAGAATGAAGATAAGAGTATACCTATACGTTTCGTTTTAATATTTTGTTATCATTTTTTTTTTTTTTGTCGTGTTTGAACCAAAGCAGCGAGGACTATTTTGTTATTTAATTTTTTCTATTATACGATTCTCTATACACGTCCAAAATCTAAATCACATTCGATAAACTTTTAACTTAGTGCATAACTATTATTGTATACTAGTTGATTAATTCACGTCAAAATGTTAAGAAAAATAATTTATGTGTGAAAATTGAAAGTAGATGTTGCAACGATGTTGGTGATTGTAACTATTAATACTACACATAATATTTGTTAAACAAAAATGTTTTAAAGTAAATATTAACATAACTAAAGAAAACATTTTCTACCCAAAAAGGTCTAAAAAAAAAGTCTGATAAATAAATGTTCAAAATCAAAAAATTATTTAAAAAAACCCATTGATAAAATTAAAAATAGTGAGAATCATATCGATTCGCGCGTTTCTTTTTTTTTTAAAAAATACCCAAAATACAAAACAATGCAACTTTTATTTAAATACAATTTTCCAGCCGTATTTTAGACTTATTTACTCCACACATTTTTACTTCAGATACTTTTTATTTGGGACTTTTTACCGTATACATTTTGGTATAATACTCTGTTTTTGATTAAAAAAAGGGTCAATTTTCTTTTTTTCTTTTTCTTGGTTTTAATAACGATTATATCGACAATAATACGTTCCTCAGATACGAGTACGTAAAAAAATACTATTATTTTTGATTTTTGTTTATTCGTAATACTATTACTAATATTTTATAACCAATAAAATAGGTAATAGGTACGTGTACAGAATAAAAAAAAGTTTCAAAGTACAATCGCATTTTCGGACCCATTGTGTAATGTAATAAATAATGGTGCGAAAACGGGAGACTAAAAAAAAACCGAAAAAATACAAATCAATCCGAAACAATGTTAACCTACGAAAATTATTTGTTTTTTTCCCCGCCCCATTCCCGTATACAGCACATAGTATTTGTTTTTGTTTTTTTTAAGATACCGCTGAGATTAAATAGTTATTTATTATTATTTATTTTTTTTTTTAGAAATACTCTTAGTTCTCGACGACCGGATCGGACACACAATGTCCGATCGACTGTGATAACGCACTCGTCGTTCGTCAGAAAGCCAAAAAACACACGCGTTCACGTACAAAAAAGCCAACAAACTCGCGCGAACCAGTTTCCCTACGGCCGACGACGACGACGGACCCACGAATACTGTACACGCTAGGACCCTACGATATAATAGTCGTTTATATAAGATTTTTTTTTTTTTTTTTTTTTTTTTGAACATTATATGCCTCGAAAAAGTTATAATATGATTAAAACATGAGTCATCGCCCGCGACAAAACGGTGTTGTCCCACGGTCTGTACAATATCTGTATCTAGTATATCTCTGCGTGTGTCTGTGTGTACATCACTGTGACAAGTCTAATACGTTATGTACATTATATACACACCACAAGGATAAACAAAGAAGATACTGGCGTGTGCCGGAGGAGAAGTAACAATATTATTGAAAAATAACGTCGGACATACTTCGGCCAAGGTATTGGGCACACCTGTTGCTGGCGAGACGTTCGTAAGGTATATGCAGGACGAATTTATAAAACGATTCTCAGCGAAACCATTTAAAAAATCTAAATAGTCAATAAGATGGTGATATTGTTATCTCTTTTTCCTATTCGGTAACGCGACCCAGTACGTAACTTTTTTTACACGTGTTCAATCCGTTATATATTATCTATGGCATTAATGGTGTCTTTACCCTTTGTAACTCGGCGACGTAGGTATCGGTGCAATACTTTATGTTGACGGCTATTTAAATGTTTTAAAGTAAAACTGGATAATCTCGTTAAACAAAAATCGTTCGATTTTTATTACCACCGAGCGAAATTTTCGAATTTTTTAAGAGGTCGTAATGCCGCCCGTAAATCGACTGTAAAAAACTGTTTTGCACGTGAAAAACTACTCGAGCTATACAAAAAATATTAAGAAATACAATTTTCACGAAAGAAATCGGTGCATAAAAACTGTA